TCCTTTTCTTTCACAAGACTACAGGAGTAAATAAAAGTAGCCTTCTCTTGATATGCTAGTCAGGTTTTATCTCTGCTAGAGACATGTTGTGCTTGCTGCAAGCTGCAGGTGGGCTGAAACGCAGGTGTTTTGGGGAAATCGAGCCTCCTGCCAGCGCCAGCCCAGCTGAAACCCCCCACCAGCCCTGCCAGGCCAGCGGTGGCCACCTCCAGCACAGCCCTGCCACCAAAGCAGCCCCTGGCAGCATTTTTCAGGCGACATCGCTCGGTCTCCAGAGGGAAAGGAGCAGAGATAAGACACCCCAGGGCTTTGGCCATGGAGCATCGGTAGCTGAGGACAGGGATGAGCCTGGTACCCAGCACCACAGCTGCAGATGGAAGGGAAAACACAGGCAAAGCTCTTGGCAGAGCAGCTCCTGGCTCAGCAGGGACAGGCACGGGGTGGCTAACGAGGGCCAATGCAGGGCAAGCAGAGGGGCACCAGCAGCCACTGGGACAGATGGGGCTGGTTCAGCTGTTGGAGATGCAGCTTCTGCTTTCTAAGCGTGGGGGCTGCGTGCAGCCAGAAAATGCCACTCACCATATTTCAGGGAAATCCTTTTCCATCCGAAAATGGAAATCCGTTAAACTCTCTGCGTGCAAAGAGTTGATTTTTGGTGGAATAGTCCCCTGGCAAACCCGAAAAGGTATTTGATGGATTGGGAACACGTCGGGTTTCGTCTGTGGTTAGCTTTGTGCTCACCTGGGCTGTTGGCATTTCTGTGAGCAGCTCTCCATTTCCAGGGGCATGTCACTGGGTTCACTGAGGCTGACTCCTCTCCAGGGTCTGGAGCACGACAGAAGGAGAACACGGGGTGCAGAAGCTGTGGGGAAGAAAGGAACAAGAACTCCTGCAAAGGCCAATGATCCCTCAGCTACAGATAAGGATCAATGTCAAAGCAAGATCTTATTAAAGAAAAGACTTCTAATTTCAATTTCTCTGAATATTTGCTCATCTTAGTTTTTCGCTTTGCTTTCTCTCCTTCCCATATAACGACCCGTAGTAACGTCAAAACATCAAAACTTGGGGGAAGTGGAGTTGTGATTGTTTGAAGGGGGCTGATTTTAAAAGCTTTGGTGTTGGTGCCTTTCTTATGCTAAGGTTTTCAAATAGAAATATACACACACCTTAACAACAAAAGGCTATAATGACTGCATTGTCACCAGATAAAACTGTACTAAAAATAAATAAATGCTGCAGTTTAACATGATTCAGTAGGCAGGGTCCTTATTATTCTTCCACCATTCAAAGGAAGATTCAATTTCAGCATAATACACTCCATATCTCTGTAGCATCCCTCATCCGACTGGTGCTTCTTCTGAAGTTTCTGTCTGCTGATGAATGCAGAAGGTTAAGAATAACCACAGGCGCAAGTGTTGTGGTCACTGATGCATATTTTTAAGTGGTAGGACACAGTGAAGAATCTGGGTTTAAGTGTAATAAAAGTGAGGTCCCGATTTGTTAATGAGGAGCATTGTCTGCTGCAGACACTAATTTCACTACAGGGTGCAGTCTTCAAACTTTTCATTCTAATTAGAATGCATTTCCATATTCTTTATCAATTTCTTCTCTTACTGAAATCTTCTCAAATGACCTTTTTTTCTTCACTTATGACTCATCCAAAGATTTTTATTTTTCCCAAAACAATCATTCAGATGCAACCGCATTTTTCCAGTAAACACGTTCAAAAATAAATGACCTTGCCAGCTCATGCCTACACAGTGGGAGAAGGGCATTAGCAGTGCAGAGGCAGCTACTAATAATACACAGGAAAATTAAGTATGGGAGAAGACCGTCTTCTTCTAATTCCTTGAGCGTTTAATTTCCAAATGCCCTGCAGTGGAATGTGTCTGGAGCAGGAGCTTAATGGCTACCAATGGAGTTCCAGCAGTGGGGAAACAAGTCCCGACAGAACAAGGAGCATTTTGTGCACGGAGGAAAATAGGTTATCTGCTAAGGAGGCATTTTTTTTTTTCCTTTCCTTCAGTACTCCACAGCTGTGTCCAGTTCCAATTTTTATAATAAAGTAAATTATTAACTCAAGTTGACGGATTGGTTGGTGTTGGTAATAGGCTTTCAAAATGATTAGTGATATATACTCATTACCCAAATTAAAAAGCCATATTAAAAATAAGGAGAGGAAATGTAGCAGCATTATCAAAGTAATAATTTCTACTTAGTGCGTATCTTTCCTGAACTTTGGCAAATGTTGAATTATGCAAGACAAACACTAATCTGAAAGCATTCTAATTAATGATGGTATTTCTTTGCTATCAAATTAAAACCAACACATTCACAGTGCATCTGACTTAAATGTTACTGCAAGTTCTTCACAGTTCGAGGAAAATTGTTGACGTGTTTTAAAATATTATACCTATACCCAAGTTATCAAGCTTCAGCCACATTCTTCCCTTGCAGAATAATTATTAAGGGGAAAGACTTATATAACTCAAAGTTCACCCAAATATTTGTTTTGTTATTCAGTACTTCAACCATCTCACAAAAAAAAAAAAAAAAAAGCAGAGATGAGTATCTTGACATCAATTAATCACAGTGCTTTGTTATCCAGGGTTTGCTATAGTTTTCACCAACTAACAGAATCAAACAGTTGCTTTCACTTTAAAGATGCTTTATAGATGAAAACACATTTACAAAACTTCTTTCAGAATAAAACAATAATCAGGCAGCTAATTAAGCACATTGTAAAAGCGAAAGCTTCCTTAAAGCTACCCCCAATCAAGCTCACTTGTGGAAGCTATTAAATAATATAAAAAAACAAAAAAAAAAAAAAAAAAAAGCAGAGATGAGTATCTTGACATCAATTAATCACAGTGCTTTGTTATCCAGGGTTTGCTATAGTTTTCACCAACTAACAGAATCAAACAGTTGCTTTCACTTTAAAGATGCTTTATAGATGAAAACACATTTACAAAACTTCTTTCAGAATAAAACAATAATCAGGCAGCTAATTAAGCACATTGTAAGTACTGAGTTTTTGAGCTAAAGACCTGTCCAGGCTGTAACATCATTTTCACTTTGTTATTATATGCAGAAAGCTAATAAAAATATAATTTCGAAAAAAATCACATTAGTGATTTGCCAGAGTGAATGTAGATGTCAAAAATGCTAATCTAGAGAAGCTGTCAGGAGTTTAAATAGATTTTTCACTGACTTGCCGTTCTTAATTATAGCTCAGCACCCTGTACAGGTTAAAAATGCTGGGTTCCTTCGAAACAAACCATGAGCTCCTTACCTTCTCGTCAAATTCTCCTTCTCTTCCTTTCAAATGGATCAATCAGATGCCAACACATAACATTTTTCATTTACATCTTTTCTTAAGCTTCCTTATCCACTGCAATTATATTTTTACCCAAACCTATCCTGAAGGGGATAGAAGAGATTTCATGGAAGAAGTATAATTGGCAAATGAGCTTGCTCTTTCGTGGGCTTCTTTTATGAGAAAAGATAGCGTTTTGTGTCGTAGAAATTCAGTACTTAAATTAGGGGGCATGCCGGCTACTTAGTTAAATAATCTAGAATAATCAGGTCAGGAGGGAATAGCACATAGCTTTCGCTTAATGTTTTGTATTAATTTTTCAGATAATGTAATTCTACATACTACCCAAGTATTCAAGAGCGCATCAAAAAAGCTGCAAACCGGAGGATTGACAAGTTGCTAATCCAATCCTCCGACTGTCACAGGGTGCCATGTAAAAAGGATCTTTTGTCCTTTAAGAGCTGATTGAGTTCCATTAGTATCCATACTCAGAGCTCTGGGCACAATATTAATGCTAATACTGTTGTTACGGAGATGGAAAGCCGTTAAGAATGAACAATAATCAGCTCACAATATCATTGGACATATTCATGCAGCTTGTACTGTGGTGAGATCCGATAGCTCTGAACCCTTCTAAAGAGAAAACGAAAATCCAATTAACATCTTCTGTGTAAACCTCCTCGGCTACTTTCACTGGAGATGACCTTGGGCAGCTGTGTTGCAATTTTGCCAAAACCTCAATTATGTCTTTAATTCAGCAGCGTCGTTGGGTTTTGCCCAAACAGAAGGCCTGGCTCCGCAGCCCGCTCCTCATGCTGGGTAATAGTTGCTCACACAAGTTGCCTCAGCAGCCACTGGCACACTCTGTGCCGAGATGGAAGGCAGACGAGTGGCAACCAGGCTTCGGGCTTTACGAGTCCACGGGGACGCTCAAGCCAACCAGCAAGAGAATTCCCTTCCTCTCCCTCTACAACCTCCAGTCAAAATCCCAGCCCTTGGATGCGCCTTTCCATCACGACTAGGGCAGTGCCCTACTTTTGGGGGCAGGTGGCTGGTATGACCTGGCAAGTGGCTAATTGTCTCCTGCTGATGAAGCATGCAGCGAGGGGAGGAGAGGCTCCACGTGGGAGGACAGATCCAGGCCTTGCAGCCCAGCTCCCGGGACTCAGGGTCGTCCAGCCCATGTTCAAAGGAAAATCTGCTCATTTAGAACAAAGGTTCCTTGCAAACAGTTTGAATTGGACCTAGAAAAACTCTTAATTATGAGCAAAATGTAGCCTGATGGAAAAATAAAAGGAGTACTTTTCTTTGGGGCAGGATATGAATTTACCTGCAATTTACCTGCCCAAGGTAGGGTGAGGAAGTAACCGCCCTGAAAGAATTAATGAAGAAAGTATTTTTGAAGTATTTTACTGTGCTGTCCACTTGATATTTTTGATTAAGCCAGGACTTAAACATAAGTTTTCACAGCCACATCTCCTTTTTTGATGAGCAGCCTGCAATTAGACCAGCAGATGTTGCAGGACAGGGAGTGCTTATCCTGGTGGCCACATAGTCCAAGACTCTTCCACTAGGCAACATCATCTACAGCAAGGTCTGGTCCTTGAAAGATCTCTTAGAGAGGTGAGGATGTTGATGGGAAGAAGAGCATTCATTTCCAGCAGGCATGGACAGCTTCTGGACACAAAGCTGTTCCCTCTTGTGACTGGAGAATTCACGGGAAGAGGGGAAAGCCTTGTTACTGACTGTGCTAATGCCACTGAGATGCTCAACACAAATTGCAAGTTGTGCTCAACCTGAAACTACAGCTGCTGTCAACACCGCAAGTGAAGGATCCCAAAATATAAAGCATTTTGAACTCTTTCTTTTCATTTCCTTTTCATTATACCAGGACGATACTGCCTTATCTCAAACACACACTTGCATATTTGCACTCTATAATGGAGAAACAGCACTACATACAGGTCCCTAAAAGTAAACACCGAACTCCGCAAATCTTGTGTATAATTAGGAAGATTCGTCTGGATTTATTATTTTTCCCCCAAAGCTGTTACTGCTTGATTTGGCTGTCATCTGTGTCACTTCTATGGAAAGAATTTCTCTGTGTTAGAAAAGGAAAATCAGAACAGCAAGCTAATAACTTGTTACAACAGTGAGATTTAAGGAATCAAATAATGAAGCAGAGCTGCTGACAGCCCTATGCTTGTTGTACCTCTTCCTTAATGAAACAGGTCAGGACCACCCTTTGCTTTAGGGAAGGACCAGCACAGCCCCTGCATCTGATGGACACAGACACCCTTGTACTTGTGCTTTTTTCTGGCCAGATGCACGCGCTTTGAGCCGAATCCTGGCTGCCACTTCAGATTGAGAAGAAAACAGCTTCCCCTTAAATATCCCCAGCCCAAGGCCAACAAAACAAATTCAGTCCCGACTTTATCCTTTTGATTTAATTTCCTAGTGTATTAATTTTGGCCATTCAATCTCATTGATCTATTGAGTCCATCTCAGCTGTGACCTTGATTTGATTGCTTAATTGGCTTAGCAAA